TTATTTTTCTCAGCCTGGCCGTAGACACATGCAAAGGCTGGATTCAGTGGCCATCCAGAAGCTAGTGAGCACAATAGACTGTGAGTCCCTCAAGGGCAGGGATTAGTCAGCTTTGTGCCCCCACCCCTATCACGTTCTTGGTATAAGGCCAAACACCAATTTATTAATTGAATAGGAATACAAATGAACAACAAAAAGCACAATTAATTAATTTAAATAATTTTAAAAACACAGTTACTTAATTTGAAGCTATGAGACTTCTTCAATTAGCGTACAGTATAAGGACAACAAAGATGTCCCATGAAATTTTCTTTTTTTAATATTCTCAGGTCATAAGGACAAATTGAAATATTTTCTTAAGTGGTCAACTGTATTCCAGTTTGGAGTCTAGAATATGATGGTTCCCATCTTGATCCTCTCAAGCTTTAACCAGCTTTCCCAAGTCATTCACAATACATTTTCGCTACAGAAATAGAAATTCTCTGTCTCTGTTGATTGTTATCTGGGTGCTTTACCAAGATGATGGCATTGAGTATATCTTTGGATTTATCTAAAGTAGAAACTTCAAAAAGTAATGTAGCAATACAATACCTGTTAAAATTAAAAGTACATTTATCCCTTGATCCAGACCTCCCCCTTGGGATACATATGCACAAGGATGTTTATTGCAGCATAGCTCATTCCAGCAAAAAATGGAAACTGCTATCTAACAATACTGTGGTATTATACAAATAGTGCAATACCCAATACTGTAGAACATTAAGCAGCTACTTAAAAGGATGAATTACATAAATAAATTAACCTAGAGGAATGTCTATGGTATTTCTAAAATACGTAATACTTTCTATCTCTACAATTTCAAATTGTGTGCAATGGCCTGTAACCAAATATCTTCACGGTGTGTGTAAAACCATTTTTTCCCCAGTTTCCTCAGTACTTTTTAGATGTCAAGCTGTGGTTGAACAGATACAGCAGAGCTATGAACAGAAAGTAGACCAGAATTTATTATTTTCTGAGAAGTAGCCAGATTTGGTATGCAATAAGTCACATTGGTTGTGCTACAGAAGAAGAAATGTATGATAAGAATTTCACCAAGAAAGGAATGTGACATAAAATGATGCCTGTGTGTGCACATTTCTTATATATAAGCTCTAACATTGGTGAAATTTCACAAGAGAGACCATTAATTTCATTAGAGCTACAAAAAGGAAAATTAAACTGGTATCCCCAAAATGCAACATAAGAAGACAAAGAGAAATTATGAGAAAAAATACAAGAGACTAGATCCAGAGGACTCAATAGCTACATGCAGTTTTTATGGAGAAATCCTAACCCATTGGAGCATGAGATGATTTTGCTGCTTCCAACAATTATTGCCAAGTATATGATGAAAAACAAGCTTTTTCCCACTGCATAATGACTCTCTTGATGACATATTAGGCAGATTTATGTTTTCAGTTACTTGGTTGTTAGACTGGTTTAATTCTACTATCTAGAATTTAATCTCTTTAAAACTTCAACCTTATTCAAATTCTTCTTGTTCTGCACCCCAAATATAGACTAGAGTGGCATAGGATGCAAGCTGGGGCAGTAGAAGCAGAATGTGGCCCTCAGACACTTATTCTTACCATCTTTTAGCAGAGATGTGGAACAAATGGAACTCTCGTCCATTGTGGATGACAGTGTAAATTATTGCAATCACTTTGCACATCTATTTGGCAATGCCACCGAAAGATAAACACACACACTCCTTGTGATTCAGCAGTTTTACTCCTACGTATTTCCAGCTGAAATTCATTCATTTGTATACCAACAGATATGCATGGGAAAGTTCATATCATTACACTTAATAGCGAAAAACTAAAAACAATTCAAATGTCCATCAGTAGTAAAATGGACAAATTGTGGTTTAGCCAAACAATAGAATATTATACTGTAAAGAAAATTCACGAACTACTGCAATAATAGGAGTAAATCTTAAAAACATAATGGAGAGTAGAGAAAGCAAAACACACAAAAAAATACTGTATACTTCCATTTATGTAAAGTTTAAAAAACCGACAAAGGTCATCTATGATATCAGAGCCCAGGATAGTGGTTACCTTTGGGAGGAGAAAGGGTAGTGACTGGGAGAGGACATAGGAGGGCTTTCAGAATTCTGAATGTGTTCTGTTTCTTGATCTCAGTGGTGGTGACACAATTGATACGCGCTTTGTGAAAGTCATCACACTGTTCAGTCATGATTTCTACACTTTTCTATATGAATATCAGACTGTAAAAAGTTTATGTGGGGAGGATTCCTTGCAAAGGAATTATAACTAATTTCTTCTAAATGTAGAAAGAATAGAGGAAATAGAAAAATCACCATTAAAATCACAGTAATAATTGCTGTGGGCAAGATCCACCAATAGATGCCAAAATTAGTGGGAGAAATTTTAAGGAAAAACAGTACACTTGCATAGTCTCAAAGTGTCTCCCCCCAAATATTTATTAATTACAAGGGGGAAAATAGTAACATCATAGTGGAGAGACCTGGCAGATAGCACTTTACCAGAGTGATCAAGATTAACATCTTCAATAAGACAACATCATATGTCTGCCAATATGATGCACTGAGAAGGACACATCATCTCTGTATGATTGTTACCAGCTGTTGAACTCCTCAGTTCTTGTCTTCTTGGAACTGAAGAATGAAAGCAAGAGATAGTTTTGAAGCAACAGCAGTAAAGTTTATTAAAGCGAAAGTTTAATCTTAAAGTGGTTAAATGTGGGCCCACATCCAAGTAGACTGAGGCCCTGGGGTCTCGTTGGGGATCTCCTTTTCTTTCTTGTCTGGCCTCTCCTCCTTTCTGACATGGTCTCGTCTCTTTTTATTCTTGACCAATGGGGATGTTGTCTCCTTCCTACCATCAGGCGGGGGCAGTTTTTCACTTTATCATAGGTCCAGATGTGTCCCAGGCCCAAAGCCCACTGGGGGTGGGGCAAACTATAACGTTGTATAATGTGTCCTGTGTTATTTTTGTTTTGTTTCTTGTGCTAGTCGTGGTTACCCTTATCTTGTTATTGTTACAGTATGTTCTCTTACTCAGCATCCCATTTGTTTATGTTGCTGTTTTGTCATTTTTTCTGTTCATGTCTCACTTTTCTTACACTAACATTCTGTGACACTTATGGCTACCCTTATTTTGCAAAGTGTTTTTTTTATTCAGCATCCTGTTTGTTTACGCAGCCTGCTCTGTACTTTCTCTATTCATGTGTCTTTCCTACTTACACTAATATTTGTCACTGGGGTCTCTGTGTCATCCTTTTCTTTCTTGTCTGGCCTTTCCTCCTTTATGACATTGTCTCTTCTCCTTTTTTTCTTGACCAATGGAGATGTTGTCTTCTTCCTGCCATGGGACAGGGAAAGTTTTTTACCTTATCATGGTTAAGTCCAGATGTGTCATGACACCCAAAGTCCCTGGGGGAGGACAAACTATAATGTCATATAATGTGTCCTGTGTTATTTTTATTATGTTTCTTGTGATAATGATAATTACCGTTATCTTATTATTGTTACAATATGTTCTCTTACTCAACATTCCATTTGTTTACGTTACTTGCTTTCACATTTTTTTCTGCTCATGTATCACTTTTCTTACACTTATATTCTGTGACACTTATGACTACCCTTATGTTACAATGTGTTTCTTTATTCAGTATCCCATTTGTTTACATGGTCCATTCCATACTTCCTCTGTTCATGGCTCACTTTCCTACCTACACTAACAGTATGTTTCCCAAAAATGCAGAAGCTCAAAACATTAGATAAAGCCAAACTGAAGAACATTCTACAGTTTACCTGACCAGTACTTGAAAAATGTCAAAGTCATGTAGGAAGACAAGGAAAGTTGAAGAGAATGTCTGTCACAGATTGGCAACTAAGATGACGTGACAACTAAATGCAAAATAGGACCCTGGATTAGATTCTGGAACAGAAAAAAGAGCATTAGTGCACAAACTGGTAAAATCCAAATAATATTCGTAGTTTAGCTGCTAATATTGTACCAGTGCTAATGGCTTAGTTTTAATAATTGTACTATGTTTATGTACGATGTTAATATACATGGAAGCTGGGTGAAGGGTAAACAGAAATGGGAACTTCGTTGTAGGTTTTTGGGGGTTTTGGCTTTGGTGTTTAGAGACAGGCTCTCACTATGTTGCCCAGGCTAAATTTGAACTCCTGGGATCAAGTGATCCTCCTGCCTCAGCCTCCAGAGTAGGTAAAACTACAAGTGCACATCACTGCACCAGGATCTCTTCGTAGTGTTTTTGAAACTTTTCTGTGAGTCTACAGTTATTTCCAATTGAAAAAAATTATAATGCAAATATACTTAACACTATAGAACTATACACTTAAAAATCACTACGATGGTAAATTTTATATGTATGTATGCTACAATTAAAAATTTAAAAACTAGTGATGAATAATGTGAACTCTTATACACTGCTCATTAGAGTCATACAACTACTTTGAACAATTGTTCATCTTTATTTTCTAATGCTGAAGAATACACACCCTTTGACCCGGAAATTCCATTTCTAGGTATATTCAATACAAATGAGTATAGATGTGCAGAAAAAGATGTTCAAAATGATCATGGCAACATTATTTGTAACATATAAAACTGGATGTTTAAGGAAGGAAGCCAAGACAAAATAGAACATTTATTTAGGTTTTTAGAAGGTGCAGAAAGTAAACAATATATGTGTATAAATGCTTGCATAAAACCTGGCACAAAACAAGAGCTCTAAAATGTATTAGTTTTTATTGCTGTCACTGTTTTTGCTACTGTAGTAGTAGTAGTAGTAGCAGTAGTAGTAGTAGTAGTAGTAGTAGTAGTAGTTCTAAGCCTTATAATCTTCCTGAATTATAAACATTACTCTTCTCATTTTATACATTTTTTAGAATGAAAGTTTGGAATGGGTAAGAAACTTGACAAAGACATATAGCTAGCTCTCTATCCTGTTTTACTTGCTGTCTGTCTTTCCCCATCCTCTGTTCCCTCCATCCCCCCACTCATCTGACCCTCCAGCGCTGGTGGCGCTGTTTCTCTGCTGCCCAAACTACTGCTCCCAACTTCCTCATCTGGTTCCTCTGCTCCTCTGACTTTTCCATGAGAAACCTCTTTTTGTGCTCCCACAAGAGGACGTTTAGGCTCTTCTTTCTGTCCATTATCCAAGCTGGTTTTGACAGAAAATGACTTGCTGCTATGGGACTTCCTTTCATTAGCATGTCGTTTCTTGAAAAAAACATCAGGCATCCTAATACCTTTAATCGCTTTCTTTATTTTAGACGTATTCAGGGAGAGTTCCAAATCCCAGCTCCTCTTGCGCTTCAGAGATTCCACCTGTTCTTTAATATGCTTCAGGTCCTGCATTAAACAGGGAGGAAATCTGAGGCCGAACATTAGCTCCAAGTATGAGGAGCTCTCTTTTCTTGACATATCCAATAGAAACTGCACACTGAGGGTCATCTCCTTGTTCCCTTCTGGGTCCTGTACCTGCAACAGCCTTTTCATTTCTCGGCGGGACGCTTCCCCCAGCCGGCTCTGGTCCTGTGTCACCAGGTAGGACATGGCATGAAAAAATTCCTGGAAGCTGATGTGGCGGAAGCTGTAGAACTTCTTGATGTCAA